AACAAATAAACTAGCCCCTATCGCCGAAAAAGCCGCACTAGCTAGGCGTGTCTGGCGAAGCCAGCGCGTCTTTGGGCTGCCGCGTCCCGGCCCACCGGCTCCACTTCCTCGATGGGATCGCACTCAACACTGTCTTGCTCTGCGGGCAGAGCCGCCATCCCGTCTATCAGCCATGCGCCATCATCCCCAGCCGACTGGCAAAGGTTGTGTAAGATGACGCACGCTCTGGAACAGCGTAAACACTATGAGAGTCGACACGATGGACGGTTCGGAACTTATGACCACACACGTTATGGTAAGGAGCGCAAGCACATGGATAGGAGAGAGCGTGACTTCCCCCCCCCCCCCCACAGGTTCTCTCGTCGAATATTTCCGGTATTCACCCCAAGTTTCCGTTAGAGGAGTGTACATGCCAGAAATCCTAATGATTGCAATAAGTCTGTGATGTTCTATTCGCACACTGCATGATCAACTCACTGAGATGTGCTCACGAAGTGTGCGCTTTTAAATTTCCTCTTTCGGGTTCAGGAGAAATTAATTTCTTTTTAAAATACTGCACTTACGCGGTGACCTTGATCGACGTCTCGATCTTGCGTAGACGCAGCTTCTTGCCATGCAAAGCTGGGAAGCGCATCTTTAATGTTCCGAAAGCATTTTCCACTATGACCCGTGTTTTTGAGTGTGCGCTGTTGCACCTATTGGAAGCAAATGACATTTGCGTTTAGATTGCAGAATATGGCTATGAACGAACATCTGTGAATAACGGCGATGCTTCATTGGTTATAAGGTATTTACGGGCAATGTTGATATATGATATAACGTGATGGTTGGATATCAAAGTCCAAAGGCTACCTTCTCTCGGCGTCTGTTGCCGGCAAAACAATCGGAGTCATCAGCCAGGGGGAGGCAGGGGTAGGCGCTGTCCCCCAGGAGCAGCCCACCTGACATTGGTTGGCCGCTAGCAAACCTGAAAATAGGTCAACGTTTTTTTTTAAGTCATGCGCGGGCCATGTTTGGGCATTGCCACCACATATCGGTTGGCCCACGCGATACGGATACATATATGTGGAAATGTTTCTTCAGGACACATGACAGACACTGGTGACATGCCAAAAGAAGCGGCATGTTTGGAATGTATGGGTGACGGCATATTTGGAACGCATGTATGGTTATTGCCGCATAAAATATTTATAGCTGTGCGTATGTACTGGCTCATGGCTTTTCCACTATATGCTCAGAGCTCCGGGAGGCCCGAGGTACGCATCACGCGGGCGTCATGGACTCGCCCGGTGGCGTGCGCTGCTATAGCCAAGAATTGGCGGTTTGGTCCCGCAACAGCCATCAAATTCAGGCTTGTGTCCTTTTCGGTTGACATACGCATTTTCCAGGCTGGCAGGCACCGTCACGCCAATATGCGTGCCGTCGATGCATCCTAGAAGACAATGACGCGTCACCAGCTCACATTGTTATACTGATGACATATGACCACAAATGCAATGCAATGCAACATCGGGATGCGTAGCCCCCCCCCCCCCCCCCATAGACGTAAAATCGATTGATGTTTGGAAGTGGGATGTGCCGTGTGCAGGTCAAAATGGGCCCTCAGCTTTCAACAATGTATTCTCTACGGTGTACAGTGTATTCATCTCAGGCCCTCTGCAGGACAGAATGGGTCTATGAGGGATGCGCTGGACACTTCAGAAAGGTCCTGCTCGGGGACCACTGCGCGTGCATATCTACGACCAATGGTTTTAGTGGCATCATTCATCGTGCATCTAAGAAAAGGCTTTGTTCAAAATGAAATTAAGACCTAAGGTGAGGTGACTAATTTTGGGGGTGAGACAAAAAATTTCGGGGCACATACTTCAACTCAATACGAACGTGCCAACCACGTGCTGTCGGGCGAACGCTACCGTAGTCAGATTTCAAGGACACGTCATGTCCGTGAGCCAGTTCGAAACTTAGTTGCAAAAGTTTTTCAATCGAGCAACTCCTATTCATGGCTAAATATTCGCAAAATGTTGTACTAAAGCATAAAAAATGATTATGAAACATATCTGGCCATTTCAGTTAAGAAACACTCAAAGGTGGACAATTGGCGTTACAATGAAAAGACACGCCAATCGACGAACGGGGGCAGACTGGCGCCATTACTGCGAATTCAGAGTTGTTTTGGCGGCGGTGCTGTATCGGGTGGGCCGTGAGGGCGACATGTGAGGAAGTGTGTAAGGTGCAGGGGAGTAGATAACCGTAAATAATTTCATTTCGGTATCGACTATGTGGTGGTTTTGGGCGCGCCAGCTACATGTGGTCAGTTGGCGCCCAACCATAGCTCGAAGATACCAAGGCAAGCAGAACCGGGCAGAAGCAGGGGCAAACAAACCCGTCGCCGGGGTAGGACATACCTTAACGTTTGACCTTTTAACCTTACCATTAACCTTAACTTAACCCTACGATCTAGTTGTTCCTATAACTCAGACTAAACAACGCAGTACTAACACACTTTCAGCTCTCGGGCACAAATCCTGGTCAGCTTCCCCGCCCTGTCAATCCTTACAGAAGCTGTCAGACGACAGCGCTTCCTGGCGACGGGAAAGGGCGGAGCCTAGATTATGGGGCGTGTATTAAACCCTGAGGACGTAGATACTTATTGCCCTTTTCAAGTTAAATCAGGGGAAAAAACATGAAAGCTCCCAGGGCAACGCGTGATGGAATTTTGATAGGAAGACCATCGCCACATTGCCCAACAAAGACAAAAAGCAAACAGCATCAGAGCAAGGGCTACGACACGTCCGCCGCCCATCTCGCCGCAAACCGGGAGGTATTATGGCCCAACGCATAACGGTCTCTCACATCATTTCCCGAAAAGTTTGCGTTTATGTATCCTTATTAAACAGGCATAAGCGTCCGGATGTCTGCCTGCACTTTGTCGCTCAAGGCCACCAAGGTTTTTATGACGATCGGTTATATTCGATGATTAAAAGAATTATCGGTCGGACTGCATCGCACGGAACAGTGAACTGCCGCACACGACGCCGACAGGGAGAGACTCACCCTACGCGCCCGAGCGGCACCTCCTATACTCCTTCCAAGACTCATACCCGCAACGCGATCTGCGTGTGACTGGCCGGCGCCAGAGTGACGCACCCCTGTCGGCGTGCCTATGGGGTAACGCGCCGCCCCGAGCCGTGACTGTTCTCATTCAGACATGAATCATCGCCCCGCTCGGCTTACATGTTGACACACTGTCCCGGGGCATGGTCTACAGCTACATCAGTTTCAGAAGTGCTTGTTCCGCACAACTTAGTGACGAACTATGGCTGTGCATGCGGCTCCATGACGGCAGCTGCTGTGAGGTTCTGTGCAACCGACGCATCGTTCATCGCTGAGTACATCCTGGCTTGGCCGGTGCTGTTTCTGCCAGGGCGCTCGGCGGCGCCCGCCTCGACGGCGACACTATGCACGCCCCTGGCTTGAATCTGCGCTGTCCCTGGCAGGGCGCTCGGCCGCGCCCGCCTCGACGGCGACACTATGCACGCCCCTGGCTTGATCTGCGCTGTCCCTGCCAGGGCGCTCGGCGGCGCCCGCCTCGACGGCGACACTATGCACGCCCCTGGCTTGACCTGTGCTGTTCCTGCCAGGGCGCTCGGCGGCGCCCGCCTCGACGGCGACACTATGCACGCCCCTGGCTTGACCCGCGCTGTCCCTGGCAGGGCGCTCGGCCGCGCCCGCCCCGACGGCGACACTATGCACGCCCCTGGCTTGACCCGCGCTGTCCCTGGCAGGGCGCTCGGCCGCGCCCGCCTCGACGGCGACACTATGCACGCCCCTGGCTTGATCTGCGCTGTCCCTGGCAGGGCGCTCGGCCGCGCCCGCCTCGACGGCGACACTATGCATGCCCCTGGCTTGACCTGTGCTGTTCCTGCCAGGGCGCTCGGCCGCGCCCGCCTCGACGGCGACACTATGCACGCCCCTGACTTGATCTGCGCTGTCCCTGGCAGGGCGCTCGGCAGCGCCCGCCTCGACGGCGGCACCATGTACGCCACTGGCTTGATCTGTGCTGTCCTGCCAGGGCCCTCGACTGCCTGCTGGGGTGCAGGCAGTCGGGAGTGCTGGCGCCCGCCTCGACAGCGACGCTTGGCGGCCAGGAGATGGCATCTCTACCTCCTCCCCGGTGTCCTCACCTAGCGATTGGGTCAAACATTACCAGCGATGGCACACACAAGCCTGCAAAAGTCCCTGTTGTCATTCATTGCAAGTCATGTTGAATGAAACGGCAAGAATCCCCGATGATTATCGTGGCCAGACACTGCCATACAAAGCTTAAGTACCCACCCATGCGTTAGCCACCCTTTCTCACCGCCGTCCCTTGCTAACGGACAAAGTACATCCACTCCTTCGCGCGAACAGCGAATTACAAGCGCGTCTAACATGCTGGGGCAGGTTGTTTTTTTAATGACGTTTTATCAACCACGGGAGACACATGGGCTGGGTTTATGCCAGTCATAACACATTGAGAATAGTAACGTGGTAAATGATGCGGTGATAACATGTACAGGCACGAGCTGGCCCGATCTGGCATACTACGTCCTCCCACGCCACTACCCGCTCAACGAAATCGAAAGCATTGAATGATGGCCGACCTTAACTCACGGCGTCCGTTCGAGGATCTGCCGCTTCCTTTCCAAAAATTCCGGGTACACGTCCGCACAGGTGTCACAGTGACCCAACAGTGCCGCGCCTTCATCCCAGAGGGCTTTTTCAGGATAACCGCCGAGGGTCGCTGTAACTAGCCTCGGGGAACATACTTGCTGTTTGCAACCTGGTGGCTCGTGCGCTACACGATAAGCAGGGTCCCAAAAGACGCCCATATGCAACGCAGTGCCAAACCTGAATGTGTGTGCTGCTGCCGCGATTGATCACCTCTCTAGCCTTTGAAGTGTGTACTTCTTGGGACATCGCTCGCGCCCGCCATGCGCTTCTTACGCCAAACCCAAACATTCAGTAAGAATATACTTTTAATCATAAAGCATTAATAGAACATTTGCCGAAGCACAACACGCTACGCTCTTACAAAAACTGCACTGCGTCCAAGCGTCCAGCAGCGCATAGATCTCTTGTTCGGAGGCTCAGCGCTGATGGCGCCGCCTCGCGTCGTCCTCCAAGGCACAGATTACAAAGACTAAACATAGGTGGCGCGGCAGGTCGTCAGTGACTAGTCGCCCCGACCGTCGGCGACCACCGCCGACACGTATCACGTCCACGGCCGGCGGGCGCCCGCGGCACGCGTATCACATCATCGGGCCCGTCGGTCGACGTCGACACCAGCTCAGTAGAAGCCGTCGCCGAACTTGTCCGCCACGTCCAGGTCGTCGGCGTCCGAGCCGTCGCAGTCGTCGTCGCAGAGGACCTGCTCCAGCACTGCGGAAGCCGCGGGCGGGCGGCGGTCAGGCGCGACGCGGGAGCAGCGGCGATTGCAGTGGGACGTGCCGCGGCACCGTATTCCTCCACCCCGAAGCCAGACGAAACATGAGACTAGCGCTGGCAATATTCGAAACGCCCCATCGTGATACATCCATGGCCCGAAGATCTGAACGTAAGGCTGGTGTTGACTTCGACGAACTCGAACGAAACATGCTACTCAACCCCCGGGGATAGGCTCACCACGAAGACGGGTACTTCGGACCATTGCTTTCGCAACCGTATGCATGAACATGAACAACACCACGCCTGACGAAGCAAACATCCACAGCCATCACAACACCCTGACCGCGGACTGGAGCCAGCTGGCCTTTCGCCTTGGCCCGCGTCCCTCGCCGTTCTCACCACTCGAGCCAGCCGACCTTCCGCCTTGGCCCGCGTCCCCCGCCGCTCTCACCTTGAACGGCCTGCTCGACCTTGCGCAAGTTCTTGAGGATTCCGGCCAGGTCGCGCGACGAGGTCTTGGAGGCGCTGGGCGCGTCCGTCGTCAGCGTGGTCATCACGTCGTCCAGCAGCGTGTGACGCACGTCGTCCTCGTCGAACTGGCATCTGGCGGGCGAGCGGACGGGGCGGTAGGTAAGCTCGGCCCTCGGACGCGCCACGGCCGACGCCCGGGCGACACTCGCGGCCCAGGCGAGGCTCGCCGGCTCGGACCAGGTGCGCCGGCACGGAGGTCAGAGGCGGCGACCATCGACAGGCGCTGGCCCGTCATCATCCCATGCTCACTCGCACCGCATCTCACCACGGACCTTGCACTGGTGTGGTCAGAGGGGAAGGTTGGTTGGAGCTGGAGCATGGCGCTAATGTAGCATCGCGAACGCGACCTGTCGGACACTTACTTGAGTTTCGACACCAGAGACTCGGAGTTGCCTCGGATCTTGCTGGACAGGGTATGTATCGTCGATATGACCAGGTTATCCAGCGCCTGAAAGGCGGCGGAGTTCGTGATTTCCCTGCAGGTATCCGGCTCCAAAAATGTCTCTCTTTGTACACATTGTGTGCAGCAGGCAAGGCCGACGCGGAGCCCATAATGATACCGCTAGTTATTTTTCCCGGACTAATGGATAATGGTACCAACTACGAAATTTTGAAAACAGCTGGGAGAAAACCCTGCCATCAATATCTTCAGCACGATGCGAACGAAGCACATATATGACTTGAATGACTAAATACATGTCAATATTTGTATTTCAAAGCGACACGCTCCTCTGTATTTTATTTCAAATGTCTGGAATTTGGCGGCCAGTGACATACCGAGTCTCATGGACATTTTACAACATCTATCTATGACGAGGCGGAGTCTTCAGCGTCATTTCACTCGCTTTCCGCCCATCAAACCACTGTCCTCCACTTGCCAGGGCGTTGCTTTGCTCAAACCGGACGGACAGCTTCGGCGCCACACCAAGATACACGTTACAGCAGGACCTTAGCCTGTTGTTTCTCCCGTCCATACACCAGCCCCGATATTACACAGCTTCCAATCCGACTTCAACATGCCTCGACCCGCATGCATGGTCCAGGGGGCTGGGGCAACAGCAAGCGTCCCCCGTGCTCTCCAGGGCGGTGACGGGATCACATCCCCACTCCACTCAGCGCTTCTACTCTCAGGAGCATGCAAACGCCCAGCCTCGGGTGTGGGGAGACGCGCGGGAAGGGGTCGCGGGCATGCACGGTTTTGGGGCGTTCCCCGTGCATGCGAGCGCCGACATGCCGACAGGCTGGGGAGGGGAGGGGGGCCACCACAGGCACAGCGGTTAGACAGGACTGACTGTCGAGTCAGAGCGCACCCGGTCGCCCGGCGGCCGGCCGCTACCGTACCTCCAGTTTGACCTTGTTTCTAAGAGACGAGGACGCCTGACCGCGGAAGAGCGGCGAAGCGCCGCGCGACCGGCGCGACCCGTCCAGGGACACCTAATGGCAGTGGGCGCAAACACGAGTCGTCAGACTGGCCACGGGGCGCGCACAGTCGGCGCCAGGCGCCGGCGGAGAGGCCGGCGAGAGCCCACACCGGAGTCGCCCCGAGACTGTACAATCGCATACACTGACACCGCGCTAGTCGACTACCGAGCCGCTAACGCCTAGCGCGTCCTCTGCCACCGCCGCCGCTGCGCCGGCGGCCTCCCTGGACCGGGTCGAGTGCAGTGTTCTCGCTGGCTCGTGTCTCGTGCCGGTGCAGCCGTATGTGTAGAGGGGGAGGGGGGGGGGGGGCGCAGAGGTGCACGGGCGTGACCGACACCGCATGCCGGCCGGGCGGCGGCTCACCTTACGCGTCGACGAGGCGGCCGACGCGCCGTCCAGGAACACCTCTGACACGTCGCTGTCGTCGGCGCGCGGCGGCGGCGGCGCACGCCCGGTCGCCAGCGGCGAGCGGCGGCGCGCCGCCGACTCGTCCTCGGACGCGGCGAACGCGCCACGCCGCAGCAGCGACGCCCCGAACCCGTCCGTGCCGTGGAAGGAGGCAGAGCGCAACGGGGCACTCGTCGGGCTGGCGGTCCGGGGTGGCGTCAGGGACGACTGGGTCAACCGCGCACCACGTGCGACAGCGTTACCACCGGACAATATCCCAATAGCGTTGAGTCGAACAAGAGAATGCCGACAGGCGAGCACTGCCCCGTCCACTCAACAGCTTTGCTCATCATCCCAGCTAACAGCAGGCAGGAGGTTCGTGCCGGTGCGGCCCTGACGGCTTCTCCTGAACAAAGCCTGGCAGTCATCCCACACACGGGACCGTCTGACAGAGCTCCCGCAGCTGGCGAGACCGGGCCAGCAGGCGCCACAGCCACACGCCCGCGACAGCTCACCAGGCTGAGTCGCTCTGCGAGCCGCCGGCGCGCGGCTCCAGCTTCTTCTTCTTGTCCTCGCGCGCCGCCTTCAGTGGGTCGTAGTTCTTGCGGCGCTTCCAGTTGGCCATCTCCTGGTCGCGGGAGGCCTGGGCGGCCAGCGCGGCTGCACGCGGCCCTCCTCCCAGGGAGCGAGCCGCCGCCGCCGCCGGCTTCTTACCGGCCGACGGGCGGGACGGCGGCGTCTGAAACAGTGTCACCGGCGTCAGCGGGACCCGGAGGCGCGCGCACCCGTCTGCGACGATGCACACGGTACCGGCCGGGCACGCACGAGCACAGGGCGTGCCGGTGATGTCTGGGACGTTACCGGGCATTAGTAGCACGAGGGGTATCCGTCGGGTGTACATCGAGCAGTACAGAGTGTCCGGAGGGCAAACGTCAAGCAGTACAGAGGGCGTCCGTAAGGTGTACATCGAACAGTACGGAGGGTGTTGGTGCGGTCTGCAGAGAGAACGGCCGGTGTCAGGAATAACCAGAGGATGCAGGGTGCAGCAGACGGTGCGATGCAGGGCGGCAGCCTGTCACAGCCCGGAGAACCCAGATAGCAGCACGGACTTGACCTAGAAGTGAGCTTGTGACTTCAGTGGATTAGAGAAATACTGTAGCTGTAAATGCAGGTGCTCAAATCTGAGAAAAACGCCGCGGAAACGCCAACGTGAGTTGACCGAGCGCTGCGTGACACTCCTCCATTCTCAATGGCGTTCGGGCCAAAAACACAAGGAGCAGGCTGCAATTCCGAATTCGTTACGGGGAAACTATGACGTGCCACCGAGGGACAGGATCATGATCGACGCGTCACACCAATGGTGTCAACGCATTACAAGCCACCACATCAACGGCACCCGCACGCAAATAACAGCTGATCCCCGCGCGCGGCTGCCGTGTCCTTGCCGCGACCCACCGGCGTCGGCCGCTGCACGGTACCCCTGGCGGCGGCCGACACAGCGGCTGCCGTGTCCCTGCCGCGCCCCACCGGCGTCGGCCGCTGCACGGGACCCTCGGCGGCGGCCAACACAGCGGCTGCCGTGCCCTGCCGCGACCCATCGGCGTCGGCCGCTGCACGGCACCCTCGGCGGCGGCAGACACAGCGGCTGCCGTGCCCTGCCGCGACCCATCGGCGTCAGCCGCTGCACGGTACCCTCGGCGGCGGCAGACACAGCGGCTGCCGTGCCCTGCCGCGACCCACCGGCGACGGCCGCCGCATGGCACCCTCGGCGGCGGCCGACACAGCGGCCGCCCAGACCCACCTTGGCGTTGCCGTTGGCCATGCGCAGACTGAAGCGGCCGCCGTCGGACCGGGCGAAGCCTGCCGCCTTGCCGGCGGCGGCCGGCGCCGACTCGGAGTCGGACAACTTGCGGCCGCTGCTGCCGCTGGAGGGGCGCGCCGGCGGCGGCGTGGGCCGCTTGGCCGCGCCGGCCGGCGCGCCGTCGTCCAGTCCGAGCCGTGCGCGCCGCAGGCTGGCCGGGTGGAGGGGAGGGGGGAGGGGGTCGTCAGGGCCGGCCAACGCGGAGACAGCGGGGCACGGAGGAGCTTCTCGCCCGCCAAGGCTGGCAGACCGACAGGCTGCCGTAGGATACTGAGCGTCGGGTGCCGCAGAAGACGGGCCTATCACAACAGGCAGAAGCGGACTGAAGCACACCCCTCGGCAGCCCAACTGAAGTACTTTTCCGGGCAGACCACGGAATCACGGGTGTGGGACGAAGCGAGGCAGCAAAAGATAAATGATCCCATCCCTCACTATCGCACCGTGAACACGTACATCACCAGGCCCGACACAAAATCACAGCCTCTGCTGCCAGCACCACCACCACACACGCCCGCCAGCCGTGCACAACACCAGAACGGCGTTCACGGCGCGCTCACAACCCCTTACGGCCACCACCGGCTGGCGCCAGCGCGCACGCTCGGCGGCGCTCCAGCCCTCTCCCCTCACCTCAGCGCCCGGTTGAACTTGAACTCGGCGCCGCCGGCTCCGGGCGTGGTCGGCTTGCCGACGGCCGGGGCGGCGGCGGCGGCGCGGCGCCCGCTCGCCTCGCTCGACTCCGACTCGGAGTCGGTGTCGTCGCCGCCGTTGGCCGCGTCGATGCGCGCCTGCAGGGCCGACATGACGTCCTCGGTGGTGCGCAGGTACGACTCGGTGTCCAGACTGCTGGAGAGCGCGCCGGCCCGGCCCGGCGACGTCTGACGGCGACCACGTCACAAGTCAGCCACCGGCCGGACAGAGACGCCGAAAACCGGCGGCGCGACACACCGGCGCCAGGCGGGCTGCGCGGCACTGGCCGGGCCAGGCGTGTGGCTCAGTGAACAGGCGAACACGCATACAGGCCAAACATGACAAAAGTCTAGTGGCAGGACATGATCCACCCCGACGATAAGTTCAGACGACACAGAGGGTCAGATGAGGCGTGGCTATCTTGACTCGTCGGGGTAGCTAAACGAGAGATCTACCCCATGATTCAGCCAGACACAGCCTCCGACGGCGGACCACACAGCCACACAGCCGGGGAAACACGACACAGCACATCACTCACGGGCCGACCGTCCCGCAGGCCGACCCGGGCGCGCCGGCCGGCCGCCCTGCCGTCTGCCGCAGGTCGACGCCCCGGCGGCCGGACGCCCGTCGCGCTCGATGCATCGATTCGTGGCAGCGGCGGCGGGCGTGGCCGGCCGCCGGGCGGCCGTGACCCCGGCGTCCCTGGGCGGGCCCGGGCGGGCCGGCGGCCCGGGATCCGCGCGCACGGCAGGGTGAGGGTGACGTGTGGCAGGCCGAGCCGGCAGGGCCGTCCGCCGGCGCAGGCGATGGCCCGTTGCGCGGAGGCAATCAACGATCACGCTGTGACGCCATCGGCATGACAGCACTGATCCCGTCTTCCCACCGGTGACCAGGAAGACCGGCGGTGACAGTGGAGCCGGATGAAGCGTGCTGTGATGCTGCAGCATGATCTGGCGGTGTACCACGTGGTGTAGTATGGGAGCGTGTGGGGAAGCACGGTCTGATGTGGTGTGGCCTCGCCTGCTGAGGCGCAGCATGGTCTGGAGTGACCCATTGGGTTGGTGCGAAACGCGGCCTGGCGGTGCGCAGTGCCGTGACCCTGATCTTGTTCCCGCCGCCGGTGACCGGTGACCGGCTGGCGACCCTGACCCTGCCCGCTGATGCCCGGTGGCCGTCTGGTGATCCTGACCTTGTCCCCGCCGGTGACTGGCGACCGGCTGAGGCCGGGCGGCGTGGGCAGCTTCCTGCGCGGCCGGCCGCCGCCGCCGCCGCCGTCCGGACTGAGCGTGTGACGCGACCACGGGCTAGAGCTGCCGGTCGGCGGCTTGGTGGCCGTCCCTGCGACAGACGCTCCCGTCAGGGCCTGACGAGGCGCGGCGCTCCTGGGACAGCCCGCCGCCCAACGGTGCAGCGGCGAGCGGCCAGTGCACGCGCTCGTACAGCAATCTGAAGTTCGTGAGGTGGCGGCAAAGTTGTGTTCATAAGTAACTGTCATTGTCGGCTCTCTCTGGACTGCTGCTCTCGCACCCGGCACAAAGCCGTTGACTATAGCATTCCTCACAGCAGTTTCACGCAGAATGAATGAACCTTTCGCTGAACAAAGAGGCCGTTTGCATCACAGAGCAGCTGCTTGTATCGCAAATGCCCTGCAATTGCCTGCCATCTTCAGTTTTCTTCAACAATGACAATGCAATGGACCAAACTGGGCGATCCTGCGAGTCTGCTAGCACGCCTATGCTACCAAGTCATTGACAATCACTACGGTAACGTCAACGCGTGGGCCCAAACAACGCCGCCAATCGATTGGGGCCGGACGGGGCGGGGGGGGGGGGGGAGGGAGAGGAGGGGGGGGGGGGAGAGTCCTTGCGTCACTCCAAACATTTCCTGCCGTGGGAACCTCGCATGACAAGCCCAGGTCGGTCGACAGACCTGCGCCGGGCGCCTTCTGAGCCGCCTTCTTCAGGTTCTCCTGGTTGTGCTTGGTCACCTCGGCCGCCCACTGCTCGATCCAGTTGGAGCCCGAGCTGTACGCCGACGGCTGAAACGGCGCCGGCCGGCGTCCGGTTAGTGTCAGCTGTTCCGCGGGCAACACATTTGCAGCAGTAACACCTGGGGCATGGTGGCGCTAGCGAAAGGAAGTCACATGACCACAGCCTGCTGGCAAACACAGGAACACTTTCAACAGAAAATTGTCTGCGGCTCCGCCGCATGAAGCGTGCGAATGGCATGATCACATGCTTGCAAAACATTACCGACTGCGGGAATCCTGGTTATTCAACTTTTAGTACGTTACGCCCAGGGGAGCATAAACGGCCTCACTATTTTAGCCGGTGATCATTAAAATTGCAAGTGCTGGGAACTGAAGGGCACAATATGTCGCGTTTAACACCAAGGTGGTCTAACACAGCCCGAAAAATCGCCATCGACTTCACAGAGTAAATCACTGGCTGCAGTACCGGCGTCCATCAGCCATTGTGGTTAAGTATGCAATGATTTCAGACCCATTGAGCGCTACAAACAGCTTCCCTTAAACCAGCTCTCCAAGTCACTGCGCTCAGCAACGCCACACCTTGAGCGAGCCCTCACATAACCGGCGCACAGAGGCCCTGACCGCGAACACGCTCTCAGGCGTCCGGTGCCGGCCCGGAGCCTCACCTTGGACGAAGTCTCTGTGTCGCGGTCGGGGCTGCCCTCCTTGCTGCTGCTCTCGCCGCCACTGGGCCGGTCGATCACGCCCGACTCGTCGTACGCGTCCAGGCCCTGGAACGCCTCGTCCACCTGGCGCGTCGCCTCCTCCTGGTCCGGCTCGTTCTCGATCGTGTACGTGCCGGCCTCGCTGACGTCATCGGGCGCGTCGGCGGCGGCGGGCGCCGGCCGCGCCGCCGGCATGTTGCCCACGGTGGCCGACTTCTGGAGCGGTCCGGCGGCCGAGGCGCGCGTGACGGTGGCGCGCCGCACCGCCAGCCGCGAGCCGGTCGCGCCGCGCGGCGACGGCGTCCGCGCCACCGCCGATGGCCGGCCCGGCTCGCCAGCGAGGCCCGACATCCGCTTGGTCTCTGCGGCGGAGCGGAGAGGGGGGGGGGGGGGGTCAGCGGCGCCGGTGGTCGGACAATGGATGCGCGGCAGATGCGAGAAGGAGCGGCGGGCAGGCCGGGGGGCGGTGGCGCCCGGGTGGCGGCGCGCCCGCCGGTGACGTCAGCCACAGGTCGCCCCCGCCGCAGCCGGGTCAGCCGGCCGGCCGGTCGGCACCTGTGCGCCACGTCATCGCGCGGCCGCCCAGACACCAAACAGGGGACGCCCAAGCACGAGGCGGAGCGGGGGCCGCGGCAGGGCAGGGCGATAAAGAATCGAGGCTACAGACCAGCTAAGACAAAGGCCTTTGCGGCGAAGTAGGACTCGGGAGGAACGTAGCCTGACCTGTCACAAAATCCCCGTTTACGGCTTAGGACAGCTCAAGCGCCCTCCCGCCAACACAAATACAACCGCGCACACACACGCACGCACGCGCGTAAGTAGCGAGCAGTGCTGACAAGACTCCGCCGTTGCCAGGGTAATGCCGCGGTCTCGATCCTGGCATGAGTGGAGGCCCGACAGGGCCAGGGCGGCGCCGGTACCGGCGTCCGGTGTCGGTGGCGGCCGCAGGCGGACTGTGTAATCACGTCGGCACCAATCACCAGCCGCCGGCCGCTTTTTGCGCCGCCTCGGCGTCCGATTTCGCCCGGCCGCGAGCGGGGTGCGGGGGCGGCGAACGTCGCAGTGCGAGCCGGCCGCCGGCACTTACACCTGAGCCGCACGTGAGATGGAGGCCGTCCGGAACACAACAGAGGCCCGGCACGTGCACGGCAAGCGCCGGCACTACAGGGTGGCCGCATACGAAGAATGAATAGTAGCCAATGCAAAACACAAAGCATTTTCTTTCCCAAGAAACAGGATCTTTTACAAGTAGACCTTCAAAACGACCCTTTCCCAAGCGAAAAGGGAGACTGGACATAAAAAAGAGCAAGAGAAGAGACAGGGCGGTGACCAGCTCATAACAAGAAAGAGAGAGCGCCGGCGACGGGTCCGACGGCGAGTGTGAGAGCGAGGCAGAGACCCACGCATCCAATCACGGGTCGAGCCCGCCAACAGCGCGCGTGCGAGCCGGCGCGCGAACACAAACGACCGCGGCGCGAGGATGCCGCGCCGGCTCATGGCCGGGCTGACGCGCGATCGCCGACCGCCGCCCAACCGCACGGCACGCGGCGGAGGCCGAGAGGGCGGTGACGCCGCCGCCGTTCGCCGAAGAGTGGTGCTGCAGGTTAGAGGGCACGGGCTGACGATGGAAGCCCATAAACGCTGTGATCATTTGTGCCTCCAAAGCATGGTGGAAACTGGGGCTGGTGAAAGCTGCCTACGGCGGGAACCAAGCCTGAGATATTAACAAACGAATAAGTACAAACAAAGTACAAACAAAAGATTACAGTGCAAACAAGAGATTAAGCACAAACAAAGTCACCGCGAGTTCCCGGCCGTCTGTGGACGGAGAGTTGTGTCGCGACAGGCAGTCTGACCTGACGCTAGCCGGCCCAGGTCCGCGGGCGACCACGGGTAAGAGAACAGGGTCCCGTCTGGCCACGAGTAAGAAGACAGCGCCCCGTCTGACCGCGAGTAACAAAACAGGGTCCCGTCTGGCCACGAGTAGAAGACAGGGTCCCATCTGACCACAAGTAACAGAACAGGGTCCCGTCTGGCCGCGAGTAAGAAGACAGCGCCCCGTCTGACCGCGAGTAACAGAACAGGGTCCCGTCTGACCACGGGTAAGGGAAAGAACCCCGTCTGACCACGAGTAAGAGAACAGGGTCCCATCTGACCACGGGTTAGAGAACGGGGTACCGTCTGACTGCGAGTAAGAGCACAGGGTCCCGTCTGAACGCGAGTAAGAAGACAAGACCTCGTCTGACCACGAGTAAGGGACCAAGGTTCCGGGACACCCGCCGATCCCTGACGCCGACGGCCGAGTCAGGATCATGACCGGAGTTTTAGTCAAGCGGTGATCTGGGAGACACCCTGGAGCACACGACTGGGTCGAGGCTCGGGTCAGAGTGCCACTGAATGACGCGGCCCGCGGGCGCTGCCGTCCACCACCGCACGACCCAGTAGCGGCGACGACGGACCGGGAGACGCACGCGCGCACTACCTCTGGTGCCAGCGGTGGTCGGGTCGACGTCCTGGTCGGAGGAGAAGTAGCCCTCCGAGTGGTAGCCGACGGCGCCCTGTCGGCGGCGCAGCAGGGAGCGGGGACGCGGCACGCCCGACCCGGCGCTCTTCAGTTCGCCGCTGTCGGAGCGCGTCTGTCGGACGGGCGCGGCGCTGTCAGACGCACCGCTGACACACGGCCGGTCAAATCCGACACGCGGCGGATACACGGCAGGCGAAGTCCGACACACGGCAGACACGCGGCAGGTGAAGTCCGACACACGGCAGACGCATGGGCGGTCAAGTCCGACACACGGCGGATAGACGGCAGGTGAAAAAGTCCGACACACGGCAGACACGCGACAGGTGAAGTCCGACACACGGCAGACACAAGACAGGTGAAGTCCGACACACGTCAGACACGCGGCACGTGAAGTCCGACACACGGCAGACGCACGGCAGGTGAAGTCCGACACACGGCAGACACAAGCCAGGTGAAGTCTGACACACGGCAGACGCAAGGCAGGTGAAGTCCGACACACGGTCGACAGGGCCGACGCGTGGCGAACAACGGCAGTAGCCAGCAGGGGTCAGAGGTCAGAGGTCAGAGGCACGGCGGGCGGCAGGCCCACAGCACACAGCGGAAGATGCGCGGCAGACGGCGACCGACAAAGTGCGCAGACAGCGGCGGACACGCTCTCAGCGCAGGCAGCGACGAACAGAAGCAAACATCCGGGGAGACCGTGCCCGGGATGCCGTCTATTTGTCGGCGTCAGACCAGACCTGACTGCCGAGCCGCTGAGATGATGTGCATGCACACTGACTGGATCCACAGCCAGCATCAGCAAGACCAACGAAGCTCGCTCAGTGAATGTGTTTTGTACCATACTCGGTCGTGACCTACATCTGCGTTGCGAGCAATAACGTGAGTCTAATACAAATCGAAAGTCAAGGTGGGTTTAACAGGATGACAAACACTACGGGATCCAATAAAACGGACAAAGCGTTAGAGTGCGTTAGAAATCTCACATTGTTCACAGATGACCCCAGAAAGAAACGCTAAATGTAAACACGACGATTACCAGGTTTGAAGAGCTATGCGGCCATTACAGACGGTAAACAGCGCGGTTTCACTAAATTCATACACCTGTACCTAATCTACTAATGTACGAAAGCCGCTTCCTCACGTTCCAAGCGTTTTACAGCTTTAATTCTGACGTGCATGGATCTGCACATTCACTTCCAAAATTACAACCGTGCGTAGGATCTGCTAGGATAATGCCGTCCGTCCGTCACTTGGTCTCCACTTTAATGGTGCCGTTAATTTTGTATAGTTGGTGTTTGTAGTAGTGTCCGAGGGGCAAGGGCATATGGGTGCCAAAGAGAAGCCTCCCGAGACCTAACTAACCTGGTCTGTGTTCACGAACGTCAAGAAGGTGCGCAGATCCGAAAACACGAGCTCAACCCAAGCCCTCCGTCCGTCACAAGCACCTCAATGACCTCGGACCGTATGCCGGGCCCGCAGCCGATGCGGTCTGCCGGCGGGACGACTCGCGCTGCGAGAGGAGCGGTCGGTGACGGGGCCGCACCGCGCCACAGCCGGCCGGCAGATCGGACTCGGCGAGGACTCCCACCAACCGGCGGAGGCAGCCGCGTCGCCCACCGCCCGCCGCTCGCCGGTGACGCCAGCCGACAGGGTTCAGTCACCGGGGACAGGAGCGCCGCGTGGGGTGGGTGACGACAGACGGGGCTCGGCGACAGAGCAGCAGGGACAGTGACAGGAGCAGAGTTCGGGGCCGGTGACACGTGGCTATGCCGCGAGTCACAGCTGCCGCCCCACGGCGCGTCCGAATCAGCGCCGCCAGCGCCGCCCACGGGCCAGACAAGGTCGATACAGAGGTCGTGAGTCAGACCCCTCGAGGCCGACCCATTTCTCGGAGAAATCCTCTGTTCATCATCACAAAACAGCGGCCTTGCCCGCGACGGCTCACCGTTGTTGAGTCGAGGTCGGAGCCGTCCGCGCGCTAGGACCGTTCCGGCGTGCGTATGGCACCGGCGGAGACCGCCCGCGACCACCGGCCCCGAGACCTTTGGCCGCGGCCCACTGTCTTGCGCGTGGACCGCGGACCTGCTGCGGACCTACCGCGGACCTACTGCCGGCGTGCTGACCGCGAGCCGCCGCCAGCCGCGCCAAGCGTGCCCTGCAGAGCCTCCCAACGGCGCCGCGAACGAGCCCGTGTGAAGCATGCCATTCACAGACACGCCACGCTTCCGTCGCGGGCCGGCTCCCGACGTCCGGGAGAGCGCGCGGCGCGCGGTGTGCCCACCCGCCGGAGTGGAACGGGTCACGGCCGGCGGCGGCGGCGACACCCCACCGGCCGCAGACGGCCCCGCACACGGCCTTGGCGGGGCGCGGGCCGCCGTCTGTCCAGGGGGCCGATGGGGCCGATACGGCGGCCCGACCGACCCCGGAAGCCACCGAGGCCGCCGCGCGCGCCCCAGCCACAAGGCGAGCCGCCCAGTCCGACTCGGGATACGGCGGCACGCACAGACAGACCGCCACACACACACACGCACGCGCGAGCGAGCGAGCGCTCGGACGGGCACTGGCCGCCGGGATAAACAGAGAGCAAGACGCGTGTCATCCGGTCGCGCGGAGATGTCGGACGCACGCGCGCTGGGCCTGCCTGATAGTAGAGCGGCCCGGCCAGAGCCGAAGATGAGTCAGTCGCGTAAACATGCCCCTCGCTGCGACCAGACAGCTCTCTGCGAACTCGTCCGGAGGCATGGGGGGGGGGGGGGGATGGGGAAGGAGATGACCAGACCAAGCGCCTCCTGTGACGCTAAAACGCCACAATTTACCGTCACCAATTGTTTCCTGCAGGCGGTAACCGTCGTGAGCACACATGACTTTCATCACACTAGTCGCCTTTGCCACACGACAGATGGCGCCCCAAGGGACCCCGCCCGCCCGGGAGACGCGCTGCCTCCCGTGGGTCGCGGATCTTGCTGCGCCCAGGGAGATGAGACGGAAACGAGCTGCGATCACAGAACCGAGATGGGAGTAAGCTGAGGCCAGGGAGCTGAGACGGGAGCGGGCTGGGGCCAGGGAACTGAGATGGAAGCGAGCTGCGGCCAGGGAGCTGAGACGGGAGCAGCAGCCAGGGAGGTCGGCGGCCCTTACTGCATCATCGACAGGTCACGCCTCACCCGCCAGCGTCGCCTGCCGGCCACTCAGTCGCACTCACACAGTCCCACTTCCAGCGCCGCGCCGTCCACATCCCGCCGCCGCCTCGCCGGGCCGCTCTCGCTGCCGCACTGCCGCGCTGCCGCGGAGCCGCCGCGGCGGCCTGGCGGCCCGGCGGCGGCGGCCCGGCCGCCAGGGGCGCGGCGACGGCGGCGGCGGCGGCGGCGGCGGCGGCGGCGGCGACGCCGCCGCCGCCGCCGCCTCGCAAAAACCGCTAGCCGGCCGTGCCGTGCGAGAATGCAGCGGCGGCGGCGGACGCCGGGCCCGAGACAGGACGGGCCAGGTGCGGAGGTGTGGCACTGCAAGCGGCGCTGGCCGCCGGCTCACGCTGCTGGGCAGAACCCGAGCGGAGAGGAGGCCACCGGCTGCCGATCGGGCATCCCCGAGCCGCTCGGGCGCACTAGGCCAGTCTACTGTCTGTTCGCGCTGATCAGGGACGGGCCGTTCAGTTTTCCTGCTATCCACAGCAGCCTCTCTACATGCCTACGACCTCCTCCCTCCCTGCCATGCGATTTGAGACCCAATACTGCTCTAAGCGCACCCACTCAACCCCCTCCCCCTCCCCCAATGCTCGTGCGCAAAAACAGCCCAGTTGAGACAAAACGTACAATTTTGGCTTCTGACGCATGCTGGTTGATGCTCCGGGGTGGTCATATGAATGCAAATGCGCTTGACAACTTCTTAACTGCAAAACACCCTATTGTCACCTTTGCATTTCGAATGGAGTAACGATATTGACTACCGCAACGTGAAAAAGACCGAGGAAAAGTCAGAAATCAGGCATCAGCGTAGCATTTGAGCCAACGCACTCACCATGGATCATGACCACACATTCAAACCAATGGTCCACACATCAGCGATTTGAGAAAAATCCCACCCCGGCCCTCTGTCTATCGAAATGTCCGCTCGAATCCGGAGTTGTTTCCACAAGAACACCGGCCGTTACAAACCATGCCCCTGGTCGCCTGCTCGCCTGGTCTCCTCGCGTCTCGGCAGCGCAGGTGTGCCCGCACCTGAACGCACCCCGTCAGGCTGCGGCCTCCGCACACAAGATCGGGCGGTCCGGCTGCCCACCGGCTGAGCCGAACTTCCTCCAATCAACGGTACTCCCATACAAGGCGTGAACAATGGGAAGCACAGCAGGAGGCGTCACCAGGACAGCAACTAACAAATCTGTCGACGGAACGACAAGGAGGAAATAACAGCTGCCGGGCAAATGGCTAGGCTTCTAATATCACGGCCGTCCGTCTTCTGTTCGTCCAGCGGAGAGTCAAGCGACGCATTCATCAATTCAAACGTGCGACTATCCGGACGAGATCAGCCATGGGTCTCGGCCCCGATCACGGATCGCTATCGCGGCCGACAAAGGCGCCAGGCAGCGCCGGTCGGCGTCCGGCGAGACTTCGGCATCCCGTCCCGGCAGCCTGCATGACTGAGGCGCTGGGGCCGCTCGCCGACCGCCTCCCTGACCGCGTCTGGAGCACGCCAGGCGGCCGCCTCCCTGAGCTGCGTCTGGAGCACGCCCGGCCGGCCACCTCCCTGGACCGCACCTGGGGCACGTCCGCCGGCCGCCTCCCTGACCGCGTCCGGGACACGCCCGCCGGCCGCCTCCCTGAGCGCGTCTGAGGCGCGCCCGCCGGCAGACCCCGCCAGCTCGCCGCCCGTGAAGCAGGACTTCGCGCCGGCCTCGGGCACCGTCCATCCTGGACACAGCAGGAAACCGAGCCCTCCGACCGGGCGCCGTCGGCGTCGCGCCGGTAAAACCGACCGACAATGGCCGGCAAAAGAGCCGGCCACTTTCCGCGCGCCACTCAGGGCGGTGTTTACAGCTGCAGGCCGGGTGGCCGGTCGGCAGCCAGGGGGCACTCACGGGCCGCGCCGCACCGGACAAAGACCCGGCGCAGACGAACCAAAACAAAACCAGACGACGAGCCGCCGATAACCGAGGCCCGAGCGCCGCTCCGCAAACACTGGCCGGTGTTTGTTCGCCGTTGACCGAATCGGCCGGTGAGGCGCTGACCGAGTGAGGAGCGGTGGCGAAGCTGACGGCCGTCACGCTCTCGCCGCCGTCATCCGCGCTGGTTCGGTATGCGGGACACAGCGCGACCTTCGGCGCGGCGAAGGTCGCGGCAGGGCGGCTCCGGAGCGCCCCCTCCCCTTTCGTCAGACCCGTGTCTGATCAAGACCAAACCTCAACCACTTCCTGACGTCAATGTCACGATCCATTCTGTCCATCACGGTCCACCTACCCACGTACCCGAAACACCGGCAGACAAAGGGCCCAGATCTGCCCCACCTTCGACCCACGCCCAGCCGGCACGCTCTGTGACGCAGAATTCCACGCGCGCCGGCGGCGGGTGAGTCCCGGGCGCCATATACGGCGCGCGCGCGCTCGGCGGCGACCCACCTCGTCCCTGTCGTCCTTGTTGGATGTGCTAGCGGAGCGCCGACAGCGCGGCGCCCACCGGCTGATGCTGTCCTTGACGTGCAGCTTCTTGCTGTGCGTCGGCCCGAAGTCGACGGTGAAGGCGAGCGGCGATTCGTCACCGTGCCCGTCACCGGCGGCCGGCTCGCGCCTCTCCGGCGAGCCGGCCGCCTCGCCGGCCGTCGCCGTCTTCTGCGCCGGCAGCTGCATCGGCCGCGTCGTCCGGTCCACTGACGAGCGCCGGGACGGCGAGTCTGGCGGCGGGCGGGCGCGAGTCAGTCTAGAGGGCGGGCTGGGGCGACTCTGGCGGGGGGCGGGCCGGAGCCAGCCTGGCGGCAGGCGGGCTGGGGTCACTCTGGCGGCGAGAGGACTGGGGCCAGTCTGGCGGCGAGAGAGCCGGGGTCAGTCTGGCGGTGGGAGAGCCGGGGCCAGTCCGGCGGCGGGCGGGCCGGGGCCAGCCTGGCGGCGAGAGGGCTGGGGTCAGTCTGGCGGTGGGAGAACCGGAGCCGGTCCGGCGGCGGGAGGGCCGGGGTCACGACGTGCGCGCGCACAGCGCCGAGACAATGCTGCCGGCGCGGGGAGGCGTCGGCGGGCGGCGGGTTACGCGCGATCGGCGTCTCACGCCGGGGGTGGGCGGGGTCACGCCCCCGACCACAGGTCACGACACAACATCAACGGACCGCCGAGGGATGGCGCCGCCGAGCGCGCGGCCGGGTTTCACACCGGGCGCCCAGGGTCGCACCGGGTGACACCGAGACGGGCCGGGCACACGGGGTCAAATCGATCACGTGGCCGCTGATTGGTCCGGGGTCTGCGATGATGACACACCACTCGATACAAGCCACCTGACGGTGGTCGGTCTCACAGCCAGCTGCTCAATGATGCTTTCCCGATGAACAGACACCCGTGCACAACGCGCAGGCTTCCAGCCATGCTCATAACTCGGCGAGAGTCGACGACAGTATCACCATCGATGGTCAAATGTATCCCACCTTCGTTGCATGGCTTAATTTCAGTTGAAAAAGAGCCGGGACTGGCGACCCTGCAATTTAACTGCCAGTTCCTTATCCCCCCCCCCCCCGCCCCTTTTCAGTCGCTTGCTCATCCAGCACAACCAGATCGCCGCAGCCGGCTACCAGCGCAAAACCTCACACTCACGGCTGATAACACGTGTCAAAGGAGACTGATCTACTGGGTGGGTCGTCCCATGGCCTGACCAATGACCTCACTGTAGCCTGACCGGCTGTGTTGCCTGCACGTGGCCGGGAGACATGCGTCACGGATGCCAACATTGGCCACATTTTCGCGGCATATCGGGCTCATGGCATCTGCCATCAAGGCGCTTCATCAGCGCACGGCGGCTGAACAAAACCGAGCAGAGCCTGAAGGGCACGCCATATTGCATGCAACTCGGCCGCCTGAGAAATAGAGCGAACTGATGGAAAGAACTGTAATTGCAGGCTGTCCGTGCAGCCTTGTCCGGAGGCCGGGGTCCCGAGAGACGTCTGCCCCTCCCTCCGACAAGCCGCCGCTCCGATCACAGCGCGCAGCTGACTAGACGGGAATCGTCCTACAAATGCGGTGTCGCACCAAAGAAGAAAACGATTCATCTCCGCGGCGAATACCACCGAAGCAAAGAATCTGCAGCACACGTCAGCCGGCGGAGCGGTGCCAAGCTCGCCGCTCATCAATCGTGATGGCAGTCTCAGCAGCGCTGCCGACGCTCCCCTCCAGTTCCGAGAGCCCGGGCTGCCACGCCGGCTCGGCCCCAGCGCAGGAGCGGAACAGGACCGGAGCCGCCGGCGCCCGGCGCCCGGCGCCGCCCGCCCCGGCACCGTTAGCGCTCACGCCGGCCGGCCGGCAGCGACCGCGGCAGGGATGGGCCGCCGGCCCGGCGCCCGGCCGCCCGTCAGCGGCGGCGTGTCTGATCGGCGCCGCGCGTTCGCATTTCGGACGCGTGGGAGCGCGGCAACACGCCGCGGCCGGACGCGTAACGAGCCGTGCCACCGCCAGCCGGCGCCTCGCGGAGGCAGGTAGGTCTGTGGCGACCCGAAAACAGCCAGCTCCGACCCCACAGAGGCCGCCTCGCGACGACGCCGAGCGTCGACGCGTTCTTCTGTGACGTCAGGCGGACGCATACGCTCGGGCCGGGAGTAAGATCCACGCACAAATCAGGGACGGCGGATCCCTGCGGTGTCACCGGGTTAGGTGTGGGTTAATTCTGTCCGCATCTATCACAGTCGTGATAGATGCGGATAGAGGAGGCTGCGGTGACACTGCTCAGAAACAGCACCGCTCAGCTGAGCCAACGGTCGCGGTCGCGGTCGCCAACGCCAGCTGCGGCTTCCGCTGGCTTATCGGTCACCACCAGTAATCGATGGCGGCGGCAGCCATGCGCGGGCGAGCTGGGGAGGCCCATCGGATAACTAGGCCATGGCACATAGCGTGAAGCGAACCTCGACCGCGTGCCGACCTTCGCGCGAACTCGCAGCGCCGGCCGGCGAGCCCTTGACTCGGAGAATGGCGCGGTGACGGCGGCCCCGCTGGTGCGCCCGAGCCGCCGCCAGCGTCACGGCGAGCCGCGCCGGCCGGCCACACAAGGCGCCGCTCCGGAGTTACGCCGCCGCCGGCGCGGCTCCCCATGTGCGGAGCACGACGGACCCGCGCGCTGAGAATCGAGCGCAGAGTTCAGGTCGGCGCCACCGCGCCAGCTCGTCCAGGGCGCCGGCCGCCTGAGTCACAGAGCTGCATCAACGCGGCGATGGGTGCTGGGTGCTATAGCTGCATCACCGGGGCCGTGCCGGATGGGCAGACCTTCCGTCCAGCCCCAGTGACCAGTCTGGCCGGCCAACCCTAGTGACTAACCTACCCTGCCAACCCCAGTGACCAGCCTACCCTACCAGCCCCAGTGACCAGTCCTGTCGGCCAACCCCAGTGACCAGCCTACCCTACCAGCCCAGTGACCAGTCTGGCCTGCCAGCCCCAGTGACCAGCCTGCCCTGCTACCCCCCATAGACCAGTCTGCCTTGCCAGCCTCAGTGACCGGTCTGGCCTGCCAGCTCCAGTGACCAGTCTGCCCTTCCAGTCCCAGTGACCAGTCTGCCCTGCCAGCCCCAGTGACCAGTCTGACCTGCCAGCCCAGTGACCAGTCTGCCCTGCCAGCCCCAGTGACCAGTCTGGCCGGCCAGCCCCAGCGGCTGGCGACTGAGCTCGGGCACGGGGTCGGCAGGCGACCCTCTGCGGTCGGCCGGGCGCCGCCGGCGGGCCGCCTCCCAGCCGTGCAGGCCACTGACCCGGGCCCGGGCCGCCGTCACGGCTGGCCGACTCCGCACGGACCGGCCGGGCCGGGCGGGGCGGGGCGGGGCCCGGCGCCGCCGGCGCTGCAGGATGCCGCTGTATGCACCGCCCGCCAGCAGCCGCGTCAAACTGATGGCCGGCGGCCACAGCTGTGCTGCCGAGCCGGCCGGCCGACGGCACGGCGGGAGGCGGTGGACGGAAGTCACGGCTGAGCCGCTCACAACAGGCTGGTGTTTGTGAGCCCGAGGGGAGTGCAGTCGCGGATTTCACGGCGTCGTGACTGCTTCACACGGAGTACGGCTCTGTGACGTCGCCCCGCCACTCACGCGGTGACGCGAAGCACGTGGATGGCGACATCGCGGGCACGAGTCAGGTCAACAAAGGAAGGCGTTTGCACGGACCAAACGCCGTTACCACATAACACAGCCCATGGTCAGTTTGACGTACGATTGGCGGTAAGTGGCTCAAACATACAGCGGCACAAACCCAGCCAGGCTCCCAGCAGGAGGCGCCTGCCACATCAACCCACTGCGGCCGCATCAACAAACAAAACCAACAGGGACCGTCAACATGCGGCCGCACAGACAAACCCCGGGACAATCAAACACGCGTAAGTACCAGAACCCATCAAATGCAAGGACGCCTGTCGGTCCATTCCACGCCCCACCTCTACGGGACAATCACGTACAAACAGAACGGACGGAGCGACACATATACAACTCCGCCATCACAGACCCCCAACAGCACAGTGACACTGGGTTGCATGGCACGTGACCTCCCTCCAGCAGCACCGGGGCCGCCGGCCCGGCTGGTGAGCGGCAGGCCGTGCCCGCGACACCGGACACGACGCCCGACGGCGCGGGTCGCCTCAGCGCGAGGCCACGCACGGCCGCAGCTTCTCAGCGCCGCCCGGCCGCCCTAATTCAGACAATCAGACCAATTCGGCGGCGCGCGCACCCAGAGAAAGCTCGACGACGGCGCATGGGCGCCGGCGCCGGCCCTGCTCCCACCTGGGTCGGTGCGGCTGCGGCCGTGTCCGCCGCCCGTCTGAGGGCCAACGGTCTGCCGACAGACAGCGGCGAGGGAGGCACGGTCCAGCGCGCAGCCCGCAGGTGCGCCCCTCCCCTCCCTCCACTCCAGGCCGCTCCACACCACCCCAGCCGCACCCCACCCCCACTGCTGCCCGCTGGCCCACCAATGCCACGGGCCGTCCCGCGTCGCACGTACGGCGCCCTCGGTGGCGGTTGGGGCGGCCGGGACCGGCGCTCCAGCTCCGCGGACATCCCGCGGGCCGCTAGGGCCGACGCCATCCACGGAGCACGAGCATCGCGACGAGGCGAACGCCCGGGGGCAATCATGGGGCAGCATTAGATATTCGGCATCCAGATATTTCTACCTGCACCAACCAGTCTGCGCTTCGATGGAACGATCTATCAGGGTCCAGGATCTTGCCGTAGATTTAAGTGAAGCTCATTTCAGATCCATTAAGTGTATCGCACATTTCACAACATACCTGGCACCAAACGGCATCCCGCTATAAAGATTGTACAACTATGTTCTCGGATTCACCAGCAATTCTCTCCAACGGATCCTTGGGAATGCAGTTGGGCCGTGATTCGCAGAGCACCTGGTGCCGGCCCGCGTGACATTAGTCCCATCTGACTCGGCGCCGCTGCCAGACCACGGCTCCACCTACACCACGCAGGCACTGGTATTAGTCGCGGCCGCCGCATTAAAACAGGCACCGGTGCGTGTCCACACCGGCCGCCGACCAAACAAAACCGGCGCACACCACCGACCGCATCTAAAAACAGGCTGAAGCCGGCCGCACCACATACGGCACCCGGCCGAATCAGCCGCACCACATACGGCGCCCGGCCGAACCAGTCGTACCACATACGGCGCCCGGCCGAACCAGCCGCACCACATACGGCGCCCGGCCGAACCAGCCGCACCA